AATTAATAACTATTGTAACTATAGTGAAAAAATAGGGTGGTTTGCATGAATATTAGACATAACTGGTTGAAGACTGTACCACCTCAGTCAACCGTGACCATAGGACCTGTAAAGGGTCCGAAACGTCGGTTTGTTTGAAAAAACAAATGTACGCGATTTAAATCCGGAAAAATAGTTTCGTTTCCTATGTGTAACAATCCCGAAAACCTAAGAACTCGATAAATGTAAATCCACATTTTATAATTCTGTTATTGATGTTGAAACAATATTTCCATGGTTTTCTGAAATTTTTTGTATTGAATACTTCAACACACATACATATGTACACAGCTGCAAATTACTAAAATACATCTACATACCTTATAACGTTAAAAGAAATAGACGTAATAAAAGACCTTTAATACACATCACTTTAAATGACTTGCTTGCCACCTTGGAATGTGCATGTAAACATTTATATTTTTAAACATGTGTTGCCCTCTGTCGGATATTTTCCAATTAACTTTGCGAACTTATTTCACCTTGGGCTCGCTATAATTAGAGATGAGTCACCCAAAGACCTACTAAGCTAGAAAGTTTCCATCGTATCGAATAGATGGCGCTACCAAACGTAACAATCTTTTAAAACAATTTTGTAAAACACTGACTTCCAGGAATCGTTTAATTTACGTCTCTGCATATTTGGAATAAGGCATTGGCAAATTCGTTATCGTTTACGTAGTAAATATTATTTGATGTATAGTTCAAAGAACGGGCGAGTCATACAGTGAATAATATCAATATAGTATGATTGAAGCTCTTACAAAAGGTGAACTTGATTTGTTCGAAGTTTGCAAAAACAAAAGCAAAATATTTTTCGTATTTCTATAAAAAGATACGTAATCGTTTTATGTTTTATATGTTTTAAACCGCTCTACTTTATTCCTCTTGAGCTTTCTGGTTACGAATATACATCATAGATAAGATACTCTTAACACACTTAGGCAAGACATAAAAACATGGAAATGGGATACAGTTCTTTTTTGTATAAATTTTAATGTATTTTCATGTTTCTTGTTTTCATGCTGACAATTACTGGTTAGAAAGGTTGTAAATAATAAATTTCGTATAACTCTACATCTAAGTATCTATATTGAAACTTCAGGTCTTAAATACAGAAAGGCGTACATACAGCACGCAGTTACATTTATCGCATATAATATAAAAATAAGTTAATCATTTAAAAACTACAAAAACTTATTAAATATTTACATACATCTTTGCGCGATCAGCTTTGAATATCATATCACAGACAATTTTAGATAAACTGTGTCAAAGTTCTATGTCTCTACATAAGGCATTTTGTTAAAATCTTTTTAAATGGATTGTCTATATTCCTCGATGTAATCTCATTGCTAAATAGACGCGTGGTTTAGATATTAGAATGTCTAGCTGTAGACATTTACGTGATCCACTATTGAATGGAGTTAGTCGAACTGTTCTTCTATTAGTTTCTGTAATGTTGTATTATAAATTTCGGATTCCCTTATGACGTTGTTTGTTCTTGTTCTATTCACAATAGCACTATATAAAAACTAACATATATGCGTATACATTCTTATGTCCTGTACACAATTTCTACATTAAGCTCTCCTTAAAGGAGACTTCTGGTCAACAGATAGAGTATAGGCTATGTAGGTGCAAAAGCTACATATTTAATACCATTAAAAAATATTTCTCTTCTTGGCACATTGTTAAGGCGATATAATTTTATATCGTAAGCAATGATCTTAAATACCTATTGCAGATCGTAATAATAGAATTGCATAGCTTATACGAGTAGTAGAACAGAATGCTGCAAAAGCACTGTTCAGGCTGCGACTGCTGCGAGAGACCAATATCACAGCATCTTGTAATATTTAAACTGTGTGATGGTGAGCGAAGGTTATTAACGCCTCGTTCAATATTTTGATAATGACTTAAACGGTTGTACATTTTCGAACAATATTACAAAGTATTGTAGGTTTCGGGAAGGATGCCTTGCGACGCCTGCAGCGGCTGTGGGTCGCCACAGCAGGCGCAGGGTAGTCAGCGCACAGGCGAACGCCTCGCGACGCGGATCAGCACCGGTCCTGCGCGCACGTCTTTGAATAGCCTGATGGCTTCCCCATGGGTTAAACCCGCTGTACCTCTTCCATTTACTGAGAGAATTTCGTCACCTGGAATGTAAAAGTGGAGACGTTTGCGAAACAAGACTTGATTAAGATATTTTTTATTTCATAATATGTTTATTTTTCAATACATATTACAAATAATAAATTATTGGAATTCAAGTCAGTACCTAAAATCAAAAAACATGGTGTTCCACAGGGAAGTGTGATAAGACCTATTTATTCCTACTGTACATAAATGATATTATAGACAGAACAAAACATGAATTCATATTTACTGACGACATATTTATTATTGTAACTTCTAGTAGAAAGACTACAACAATAAGAGACTATGAACTAGACATAAACAATACAATTAATCAAATAATCAATTAATAAATCGACACATACTAAATATAATTATAATTTAAATATCGATACAATTCAGGAAGTACCCCACACAAAATTTCTTGGAGTAACCATAGAACTAAACTGGAAAAATCACGTCGAGAATGTATGGACAAGAATCAATAAGTTTATAAATGCCTTAAAAAAGCTGAAAAATATAACAAATAAGAAAGCTGACATAACCACATATAGGGCGTATATGTAGAATCCATACTATGTTACGGTCTTATAGTATGGGGTAATAATATAGATCGAAACAGAGCTTTTATAGCACAAAAGAAATGCATTAGAGTAATTTGTAGAATTCCCCCGGATGAAACATGCAGACCCTTGTTTCAGAGCATTGGTTTGTTGCCACTACCATCATTGATATTATAATGTATACGTTTGTATCTTTGTACGAAAATATACATTTGTTTAAGAAAGCCTGTATAGACATATATAATACAAAATGTCATTTGGGATAAAACTATTACACTTAAGTTTATTTAAAACGAAGCTGTACAAGTGGTTAAAAAATTTTTACGACTACGAAATATTTGACAAGAAATAAGATTAAAGATTTTGTCTTGATGATTATCATTCTTAACAAAATTCAATTGTAACTTAACATATTTGTGACGTTTTTATTATTGTATTAGCTTAATTGACATTATATAATATTATACATATGCAAATTATTTAATATATACGAAACATGTTTGTACTGGTGTTGTCTCTTGTAAAATCTTCTGTTATATCATGTTTTAAGCAAATAAACGAATTATTGTTATTATTATAAATTGACACATTTCACGTAGTTTGGTCTAGCCGTAGTCTTACGATACAATGGACATAATATTATGACCTTAATGTCGCTTTGTATAATTATGTTGAACGGCAATCTAACGAATGTAGTACCTAACTAAAGTCAACGATGTTTTCACTAAATTCTTATTATAGAGGTACTAATTTGCAATTTTCTGTCTATGAAATATCGGTAATTCTGTAAGGTACTTTTAAATTAACATAATTACATTTATAATATATAATCACGTCTCTAGTTAAACTACAGTAGTGTGAGTCAATAAAGTCTTATCCATATTCGTTGTTTATTATGTACTGCATTACTGTTAGAAGAGCTATGAATTTCGCAATGAATGACTACGTTAAGTAATTAAATAATAAGGAAATTAAATTATTGTTGAAAAGAGTTAATTAGTCGTTAGTCATGCGGTTTGTTTGTCGTAGAGAAGTATCATTGTATGGTGATGTAAACTTTGCATTTGATCATCATTAGTCGGTCTATGGTCTATGGAGTAGTCTATTTCTGAACATATGCCTGTATCAATTTACTTCATAATTAGTTGGGTCTCGACCTCCGTATCGCTTAACGTTATCCACCCGACGTGTAGGAGGTTGGTGGTAGTGCACGGTGCAGGTGCAAATATGGCGAGTATACTTGCCATGCCCGTAGCGCCGTTAGTTAGTACCGCAGATCGTATTAAAACAGCTGTTAAGTGCGGAATGCGCGCCGTTTATGGCAATCCATCGCGTGTATCTAATCGCAAAGCTGATGTTGCTAAAACCATGCCGTACACTTATTAGCCTCTTTCGACATTTGTTTGCATGTCTTTCCTGAATTGTCGCAATGAGACTGGGTTATTTATTTTATTTTCTTGCGGAAGAAAAATGAAAATCTATTTTGTTTTAGTTGTGTATCGTAATTTAGTACTATGCCCAAATAAAAATATTTTATTCGTGTCTTATTCTCCCAAATACAACAGAAATTATAGAATTCATTACCTTCTTTCAGAAGACCGGATTCTGCCGCCTGGCCGTTGTTGAAAATGGTTTTGACAAAAATGCCGATTTCACCTCGAGGCGAATCTCGACCGCCCACTATGCTGAAGCCAAGGCCTTTTCCGCCTGCTGACTTCGTGAAACGCACCTGAAATTGAAATGAAAACAAATTAAATATTTTTTTTATATAATTCTTTGTAATTGTGCATTTGTTTAACGAAATACCTTCGTTTAATCTTTAAAACATATACCTCAAAAGTGTGTGTATCTCGTGGTTCAGGCGCCGGTGTTCTCTTAATTACTTGGCCATTTACTGGTGGTGCAGGAGGAGGACGAGGGGCACGAGGCGTATTACTAACGCGCAGCTCAGCAACACCATTCCGGATTTGTTGCACAGAGTCCCCTCGATCTTGCCTTATCTGTACCCGCGGTAGACGGTATGGTTCTTCCCAAATCCTCTGAGGATCTGGTGAAAGTCGACTGTATCCATTTCTATAAGCGGTTGCGTCTTCTACATTCTCGCTGTAAGGCCTCCGACTTCGTCTTTCAGAGCCGTGACCATTTAATCTTTGCTCTGAAATGTATCCAAGGTCAACTACATCACGGGTTTCGTCTTCTGGGCTTATAAGAGGAGTGCGATCGCGAGGCTTTGGTGATGCTTTGGGACGATAAACATTTGGAGAGCTGCATCTTCGTCTCAATGTTGCTGATTGTCGAGGCGGGGACGGTGAAGGAGGCTGTCTAACAGATGTAGGACTAGGAACATAAAAAGTAGCAGGTTGCTGTTGGGGCGGCGTCAAAACGTCATGAGCCGATAGAGCTCTTCTTCGCAAGCCTCCACCTAGTTTACCCAGAGCGCGCAAAATATCAGGTGCTCCACTTGTTACTCTTAATGATGCAGTGGTGTATACTTTTCCACGATGCCGAAAGGACAGTTTCGATGGTGGTGCTGGTGAGCAGTGCGGTGGCGGTCGTGGAGGTGAGGGCGTACAACGCAAGGGGCTTGGCTCGCGGTTGCCATTTCCAGAGCCAGGGCGAAGCCTCGAGCAGCGACGTCGTAACTTTCTCCATCTTTGTGAGAGATTCGCGTTCCAACCGTCTTCTGAAATGTTTAATACTTTGTAAGTAAGCGTGCCACTCAAAAGATAAAACAACTAGTTCAAGTTATTTGAGTCTTTAAAATCTTGACAAAAATCCGTTATTATTTTGTACCGACAGAACCAGCGTGTTTATCTTTTAAATTGTGTAGTTAGGAGAGTTGTTTTTAAAGACCGTCCATTGAGAGACTTACTGTCTAAAATTAATTGTAAATAAGCGGAAGTTCTTATTGATCGAAGCAAGTTACCCTTCTTATTAGTATCAGCGTCAGAAGCGTAGTCGTGTGTACGAGGTGGCGGAGCGGGCGGGGAGGCGGGTGCTGCGAAGCTATGGCGTAGCGGAGTCATGCGCAGGAGTCGTGGTCGGTCGCCGCCGCCGCGTGAGCCCCACGCTGGCGCACCCATACTTCACCTCTGCAAAAACCAACCAAATCAATTAAAAACTCATTGCAACGTTTCTTGCTCGAATAAGTTTTTGTAACTTGTCTCAATATTTTAAGTATTGTGTATTTATTGTGGTCACAGACCACATTTGTGGTATAACACGACCAATTACAGACTACTAATGTGGCATTTCAGTCCTGGTGTTTCGTTATAACACTACCTAATTTTATTATTTAAGTTTCAGTCAATCTATTTTGTAGTCAATAGTACATCATTATCTATTATATTTGCACAAATTAACCATTCAACAACAACATCACATACGTTGTTCTGATCCTAAAGTAAGTAACTAAAGCACTCGTGTTATAGAAATCTAAAGCAACGACGACCATTAATTAGTGTTTAGTTCGAAAGAAAAACACATCCACGTTAAAACGTTTGTAATCGTACAGTACCGTGACATATCACCTAAAAACTTAGACGAAAGAAGTATTAAAGATATGTAGGCACCTCGTTTTTGCTGCCCACTGGCTATTCTTCCAAAAAATCTCAAGATTCAAATTGAATTATTTTCAGGCTTTAATTTAGAACGTGAAGAAATCTCATAACAAAAAATTCATGTCATGTACAGAGGTATTTAGCTATGGATTCAGAACACACGTGGTTATTTCACAAGTGTTGAAAATTTCAAGGATTATTTTGTTACGCTGATAAAGCGCAACATTGCTTACATTACACTATCAAGTGGGCAAGAAAAGATCTACTCGATCTAGATCTAGGCCGATGTAACCGCAGCTTCTGAGTAGTTGATTGCAATTATAAAGCTGTTTTACCATGGTTTTACCTTTAAGAATATTCTTTGTTTTTTAAAAGATCTTGCACGCACTTCAGTATTACCTCATTTTTTTCCTCAATTTACATATCTAATAACACCTTTCCTTAGACAAAGCATATTGCACTTCCTAGAAAATCATTCTGGGTTTAATAACCCATCTTACCACGCATCGCTAAATATAGGAGCCTGTTTAGCTTGTAAGAAGCTTGATGATATAATTAGATATGACTTTATTGCCTGAGGGCAGCTGGTTTGTACAGAAGCTGTCCTGTATCCAGTTTATGAACGAATAAACCATGTTTAGAAGACTAAGCATTGACTACCGTGTTTGATATTCATTTTAAAAGTATGCAGCGACACCCACTTGATTTTTCGACGTGGGCTTACGACAAACAACCGACGTCCGGTGCTCAACTCCAGATATGGTTTCTGTGCCACATCTAGGGCACTAACATTCATTAGTTTCTCTAAAATTATGGTATTATGAATTTATGACCAGATTATTATAATTTATGACTCAAAATGTATCTATCACTGTGACCAATGAGATGTTCCTTTGTTTACAAGACATTTAAATATCCAATGATATTACATGATGACATACAATGATATAAAACAATGATATACAACTAAAATGTAATACGGTTAAATTATACAATGAAATGACTATGCTCTTTGAGGAAATTGTAATGGTTCGTCGGTCGATCTTACAATCAAAAACAGCCGGTGCGTGTCTTTCTACGCAGGCGCAGGAGTCGGTACCGTTGCGGATATCCGCCCAATTGATTAGCTGCCTTCACCATACTAAGTACTCTTGCCACTGCTAGGAAACAGTGAAACGTTTATGGTAAATTTTAGGCCGTGAAATTAATTTACAAGTATTTAAATAATCGTAAACATTACACGTCGCATGTCTTACTTTATCTAAAGCCATATTTTATGACTAATAGATTAACAACGTGTTCTTGACACAAATCTTTGTGAGCCTATTAAACGTAGTCGAGAGGAAATTTTGGCGACGGAGAAAACGTAATGGTGGTAACAAATGGTTATTAATGTAACCGGGGGAATTCGTGTCCACCGCAGAGAACATTAATCTCAGGGGACTCTGTGTGGACATAGGAGTGTAATTAAATTCCCGGTTTGAGCTGGGGGAGACCTTTATTACCAATGGACACGCCTGTGGTAGCACAAATTTTTTGTCTTGTTTTTATTGCAACGTAGCTCTATTTCACCGAAACGCAAGGAGGTACCTACTTCATATTATATTTATATTACGCATTCGACATAGCCCCACACTGGGTAAACCCTGTGTAGCGGGTGCCATGGACACACACATAGACAACCACAAATTACACCCAAACTCACGAGAGAAATAAACGTATACCATACAAATATTTCTCCCGGCCCGGGAATCGAACCTCTGAACCGGGAATCGGATCTCTGCGTGGCAGTCCGGCATGGTAACCGTTCGGCCACAGAGGCAGTTAAAGTTATTGAAAATAGCTGGTACTCGCGATTTCGCCTGTGTAGTTCCAACTGAAAACCAGCGTTACAGCAGGCGAGCTGTCCGTTTCAGCTTATATTTGTAATTGATTATTGTTTTTTGTTTTGTTCTGTACAAGTCTTAATAAACTGATTAAGCGTTTCTTTCTACAATAAGTACTTCAAGTAACCTACTGTAGTAAGTATAGTAAGTATTACTGAAAGTTTGTATGGAGAACCAAAAAAACTAGTAAATTAGTAAATGTACATACTGTAATTTTTTTATTTTACATAGTGTAAATTTATTAAATTTACATAGCGAAAATTTAAAATTAGTAAAGTTACATAACATATTGTGCCCTCTTTAAGATTTATATTTGTGACAAAAAGTAGCCTATCGTTGACGGAAACCGCATTCCGTTTTTAGACGAAGTCCTTTGCTTACATTTTTAGAGCGAACAATTAAAATTCTATATATCGAGCAATTAAAGTTTATATAAAACTTCTAGACCCTTTTTAAAGACTTTGTTGATATTTATTAGACAATAGTTAAAGTAAACAGGTAAGGTACAATAAAACCTTAAATACTAGAAGTCAAATCTAGGATTAAATTATATGAATAAAATTGGGTTCCACCGGCAAGGTGCCCAAGATGCTGGCAGCGTTCCCTTTGTATGGCTATGCTAATGCGTTGCGCAAGGTAGTTGTGTCGGCCCTTGGGTTTCCCAGATAGTCTATTAGTTTTTTGGCTAAGGCTTTCGACTCCAAAGGCTGTACATAGGTAGTCAGAGCCGGGGTCCTGGTACTTATCACTCTTTATTATTTCCGCAAGCTCAGCTGCGGAGCCTGCCCTCTAGCCTGTGTGCTGGCACGCATTAACTGCATGAAGTCGAAACCGATTTTGAAACCGAGTCGACCTCGATAGCATGTATTTAATGCGTATAGTCGTTATCAACTTCATGTAGTCGAGGTCTCGGATAACAACTTCACGCATTAACTGTATGAAGTCGACCCCGACTTCATGAAGTCGAGATCCACTGCATGAAGTCGAGATCCGCTGCATGAAGTTAATGCGTGAAGTTGTTATCGACTTCATGAAGTTGATTACGATTTCACGCATTAACTGCAAACATTCAGTCAATCTGTTAGCACCCTAATTGTTGATGTATGCTATAATCAGACCTTTAACAACTAGTCCAGATAAAATGGACTAGGGTATTGTACTGGATGCAGCACAAAAGTAACAGAGTAGTCCATGTAGCTGTTACATCGGAAACCAACATTAATTCGTTTGGCGGTCCCGTTGCGTGCCGAATTTGGCTGAGCGTGGTCACTGATCTTCCGGTGCTCGACCTATGCAGTGCGGATATGATTGTCAGACTGTTTAACATAGAATTAATTAGATGTAGGTACATACCGCTAAAGGGAAGTCGCTAGTTTATAGACGAGCGCAAACATTCCTTATTTTCATGAGAGCCGTTTATATTTACATACAATGGGACTTTAAATGATAAGTGCTTGCTGCGTTAAAGCACTGTTATACCTTATTCGGATTTCTTGAACTATGTCGCTTGGGAGACAATATCAAAGTCTAAAATTTATCTCATTGTTCACAAGATAACCAGGAAAAATGTCTTTTTTGACTTGCCGTAACTACGTTGTCACGAGAATACAGATTTTTTCTTGTTGTTACGACTACACCGGAGAGTGCGATTGAGTGAGCGTATTGGGAACGACAGGTTAGTCTCCCACGCTCTTCTTATTAATACAATAACAATACTTCTATAGGAAGCGATTCACAAGGCGCCAACATCTAATTAAGATGTCTTTTTAGATTACAATACAAAAAAATTGGGGCCCATTATATCGATGAAATTGGGTATCGATTTATATGATCTACTAGGGAGTTTTGTACAATATGTTGCGTTGTCAAAGGCAGAATTTATAGCAGTCGCAGAGGGGTAAGTTTGTTTTCGCCCCGCGGTCCCACTTTGAACTCAAGTGGGTAGCCATTATAGCCGGAATCCATTAGTTGTCCATTCACATTCCGTCGAAGCTCAAGTGCATTGGCACAATGAAATGCGTGAAGGGGCAAAAACGGTCTCTCTATCCGTTAGCGGTGGATCAATTAGAAACATACTATGACTCTCAGGAGTTCGAGTTTCGAGAACGAATACTATGATCAATTTTAATAACAATAACAATAGTAGTGACAGACAAACGTCAAATACCTGGTTATAAATAAGATATTCCCTGGACTGTGTGTGTGTAGTACCAAAGCAACAAAATTAACTCGGGGGCACTACCCAGACTAGGAACAGTTTAAGAAAGTTCGTTTCCCAAATTGATCTTACCAAGAATCGAAGCCGGGTTCTCCTCGTCTGGCGCCTACAGTGCTAGCCGCTGGGCCATCGATCGAACATTATATGTATAGGGAAAAAAATATGAACGGTAATTATTTTATTAGTCACGTACCCATGAGCTGAAGCTTATTGTAACCCAAGGAACTTACTACGCATAATTAATTGCACATAATGTAAAATAACATTGTTTTAAATAAAGTTAGGAATTTATAGAGTGTCGCGTAACGGGTTCGTGCCCATGTTGCGCCCACACTTATTAACGAAACTGAGATTTATGCGTGGCTAGAGAACGATAGTGGCACAATGGGCCCAAAGGAATGTGACCCGCGTCGCATTTGTTACACTAC